CAGCAGGACACTATGGTTAAGAGGAACTTAAGAGAGGTTGGGTTGCAGCTCAGTGATAGAGCACTTGCCTAGCACTTGTGCAGCCCTGGGTTCAATCCTCAGCACCACATAAAAATAGATAAATAAATAAAATAAATGGGTTGTGTCTACCTGCAACTGAAAAAGTATTTTAAAAAGAAGGACTGAAGAGTCAATCTGCCTGGGTTTAGATTTGGGCTCTACTATTACACAGCTCTGACATGGGGCAAATCACTGAAGTTTTTTATGTCTCAGTTTCCTTTGTCATGACATTGTTTTGAAGAATAAATATTATAAGCACTTAGAACAGTGTTTGACATGTGATATATGTTATGCAAATGTTTGTTAAATAAAATAAGTAAATACCTGTACTTGACCGAATTATCTCTGTCCCAACAACATGGCCCAATAGGTCATACTGATTCAAGCGAGAACCATCCTGTGCCACTTCCACAGATTTGTTCTTCCCAAGAGTCCAAGAATAAACCACTTCAGCTGTTGTATAGGCATCTAAGACAGAGAAGAGTCAAGATGAAGTTGAAGGGAAAGGAAAATGGTTATTTATGATACTGATATTGTATGAGATTTAAATATATCTTGTACCCCCAAAGAGTTCTGGGTATGTGTTCTGTCCTTAACTGAATTCATCCATCCACCCAACACTCATTGAATGATTACTATAGTGCATGCCATATTCATAGTAATGAACCCAAAATAGTCTCTTCCTTCAATGACTCACAGACTTCTAGACTGATAACCAGTCTCCTTTTCTTTTAGGGTAGAATGTAGGGACAGGGAGAGGAATGACTATAATGTTATCTCATGCAGACATCACAAACTCAAATGTCTATGGGAGCCAGAAAAGCTACTTTGAATGAGTGAATCACACTAGTTCTAAGAAAAATACATTGCCAGAAAAGTAATAAAGTTTTCTTTTATTCACTATGGGTGATAATATGAGATGAAGCAAAAAAAAAATCATACTACTGATATTTTAGATTAAAAATAAAAATCCAAACTTGAAATACCAAGAATTAATGATCACAGTTTTCTTTCATAACTTATTTATTACCATTTTGATGTGCAAATCAGAAAACTGAAATCTTTTCTTCTTCATGAGGGTGTTAATGTTTTATCTGGAATTCCAATGTCAACTACAGATTTTATACATATTAACCTTAAAAGGGGTGTAGGTAAGGGAAATGAATGAGTTGATTCCTTTCCAGACACAATTGACCTTTTTGCTCAGTGAATTTCTTTGCCCTGCCTATCTCAGGCACTTAGGTTCATAAATGGAAACTATTCACACTGTTCACCTTTTCCCTGCAAGCTTTGAGCTATGTTGTTCAAGTTAGTGAACGGAAGTGTTTTCAGCTCCTGGTGGCAACTGCTATGTTCATAACGTGGTCTATTGGAAATTTTGCCACAAATCAGATGTGAATCTAACAGTGAACAAATGTAAATTCTGGGTTCCTGAAAAATTCGGCAACACTGGATGCATATTTCATAACAAGTCTACGATCTGTTTATATTATACTTTTTTTTTTTTACTTAGGCTTTTTTCCTCCCATTTTTAATTGGTGCAGTATTGTTGTATATATTGATGGGATTTGTTTTTAAATATTTGTACATGCACAAAATATAACAATATAATTTGGCCAATATCACTCCACAGCATTCCCCCCCACCTCCTTACCTCCCACCCCTTCTCCCCTTTTCTCCACTGATCTCCCTTTGATTTTTAGGAGATCTGCCCCATTTTTGTTTTATTTCTTCCTCTCTAGTCTCTGTATATGAGATAAAACATACAATCCTTAACTTTCTGAGTTTGAATCATTTCACTTAACATAATGGCCCTGTTCCCTGCATTTTCCTGCAAATGCCATAATTTCATTCTTTTGTATAGCTGAATAAAACCCCATTGTGGATATATACCACATTTTCTTTACACATTCATCATTGATGGACACCTAGGCTGGTTCCATAGTTTGGCTATTGTAAATTGTGCTGCTATAAACATGGGTATGCATGTACATTATATTTTTTAGGAGCTTTTTCAATATAGCTAAGAAAACCTTTTACTGATTTTCTTAAAAGAATACCATGCAAAAACTTCTTCATTCACTTTAAAATTCTCATTGACATCATGAAAAATGCATGTATAATTCTATGGCATTTTTTATATCTTTGCTGTCATAAGCTGAAAATAAAATGTCACAAGAAATTTAACTTTTCAAAATAACTTGCCCTATATATGGCCTCAGTCATTTCTTCAATGCACCAACAATACTCCTACTTTATACATAATTTCTGTTGTGCTATAGAGATATTTTTATAATTTTTTCATCTGTAAAATATTTTGATGCCTGAGAAAACTTATTGCTGATGACATGACTGCATTTCCCAGCAGCAACACCTAGGGTATACATTCAAATACAAAACTTGTTGAACTTTCAGTCTGTTCTTTAAATTAACATTTTTATTGTACATCTTTTCTATGCAGTAGTTCCCCCCCACCTGTGCTTTTGCTTTCCAAGGTTTCAGTTACCTTAAATTAATGCAGTCCAAAAATATTGAAGGAAAATCACAGAAATAAACAATGCATAAGTTTTAACCTACTTGGTGTTCTGAATAACATAATGAAATCTCATGCTATTCTACTTCTTTCTGCCTGGGGCATGAATCATCCCTTTGTCCATTGTATACAGGCTGTGAATGCTACCTGCCCATTAGTCACTTGGTAACCATTTTGATTATTGAATCAACTATTGTGATATTGCAGTACTTGTGCTTAAATAACCCTTATATAGTAGCCTAACACTCACCTCACATCACCTCATCATGTAGGCATTGCATCATTTCACATCATCACAAGAAGGAGAAGGATGAGTACAGTACAATAAGACATTTTGAGAGACAGAAAAAACATTTTTATATTTATTTTTTAGTTGTAGTTGAACACAATAACTTTATTTTATTTATTTATTTTTATGTGGTGCTGAGGATCAAAGCCAGGGTTTCACACGTGCTAGGCAAGCGCTCTGCCACTGAGCCACAATCCCAGCCTCAAAAAAGCATATTTATATAATCTTTATTCAGTAAGTATATTGACAGAATTGTCTACTTTATTATTCTTTATTATTGCTAACCTGTTACCATGCCACGCTTATAAATCAAACTTTATCATATATATGTATGTATAGGAAAAATTCTATACCTAGATAGAGTTTGGTACTATCCATGGATTCAAGGATTGGAAGTCTTGGAACATATCCCACTAGATTAGATAAGGGGTGATTTCTGTATATCAACTGTAGTTTTCTATAATGGATGGAATAATTATAATATTTGAAGTTTTATCCCTTCAGCAAAAGTATACTTTGTATGCACAGTAAAGATGTAGAAATATTTTTCATTCCTATAAGGAAATGCAAACTCTCCCATCTGTTTTGAAACATAGCCACCTCAGTCTGTGTTTTATTTTTTTAATGATAAGTATAGATACAAGAACTATTTCCTCTTAAATTCACTGGGAGATTTTAATTATAAGTAAAATGAGAATGCAAATAGGTTGATTAATAGCAACTGATATTGGAGCCTGTTTGCAGGGAGAAGGAAAAAGTGATGGTCAGGATCATGTGTCCTGGGCAAGCATATGCACATCTACAAAGGACAGGACTAACCAGCCTTAGTCAATTGCAGCCATGTAAGATTTAAGCCCAGTGTTGTCAGATACGCTGATTTCATGAAATGATAAACATATCTGGAATTTTATGAGACAATATCTTAAATTTCAAATCTTGGCAAATAATTTTAAAAGTAATTAACACATATTTAGATCAAACACATTACAGATGCAGTCCCAATTTGTGACATCTGGCCAAGAGACTTCCTCCTATATGTGGCTATAATCTCTTTTGATTCAACCTTGAAAACAAAGAATCCTTTGAGGCCCATTGTGTATCTAGGACTCCCACCTGGAATTGTAGCTCTTTAAACCATTATCATGAAGAAGAAAGGAAAATCTCAGGAATGTTTCCATACCATTGCCTAAAATATTTTCTGATATCATGTGAGATTGTCACAGTGCTATTAGTGAAATGTGATTTCACAAGATGTTGTCTTCTAATTTTTTCCTAGTGCCTTTCATCTTGTACCTATTCTGGAGTGCCCTGTACTCCTAAGCAAAGAACCAGCTGTATATATCTTCTTATCTTTGCTATTCTGGTGGTTGCAACACTCTCTATTTAAAGAGCAATACAGTCTTCCAACTAATCTACCCAAGATTTTGTTAGTTGGTTGGTTGGTTCTAGGGATTAAACCCAGGGCAACCACTGAGCCACCTCCATAGCCCTTTTTATATTTTATTTAGAGTCAGGGTCTCACTAAGGTGTTTAGGCCTTGCTAACTTGCTGAGGCTGGTTTTAAACTTTCTATACTCCTGCCTCAGTCTCCTGAGCAGCTGGGATTATAGTCATGCAACACCGTACCTGGCTACACAAATTTTGACAATGTGAAAACTACAGCAGGTTTGTTCAAGGAAAGGATAAGTGAAGGCAGATTTTTTTCTCACTCTTAAGAAAAAAAAAAAAAATTCTTACTGGATTTCTAACTGAGGCTGAGTACCTGGAGCAGACATTCCTGAATACTAACCCTCAAAATCCTAGCAGGCCCTACTTCAGTTGTGAAATTATATTGTGCATCTAACCGTGTCTCAGAAGCTTCACCGGGCCCAGAATGGCAAATTGCTTTATGCAGAAAAAAAATATCAATTTCTTTGTCAATAATATATGGAAACAGAATCGTTTTGTAGATAAAAAATATTATCTTTTCATAATATGGAGATCAAAGCAGGAAAGGCATGAACTAATGAAGGGAGAGAAGTAAAGGGAAAAAATTTAAAAAAAAAAACAGTTGAGAGCTGATGGTGTAGTTCAATGGTAAAACACATTCTTAGAGTGCACAAAGTCTTGGGTTCCATTCCAGCACCAAAAATTAAAAAATAAAAATAAAAAGATGGAACAAAGAAAGGGGATCGGAGAAGGACAAAAATGAGAACAAATTGAAAGATACTTGACTGAATCTCTACTTGAAGCCTGACCCTATACTGGTAAACAAAGGATAAAAAGGCACAGTAACCACAATTAAGGAGCCCACAATCCATTGAAGGGGAAAGTGTACAACAGTTACAGTGGAAGTTTCAGCATAAGAAATGTGTGCACTAGTGAAACAAAAGCAAGTGTTAAGTGAAACCAGAAATAAGCACTATTGTTCCTGCTCAAAGTTGAATGTTAAAGAAGTATTCATAAAATAGATGATACTCACAAGATGAGGCCACTTTTAGGAGATGGAAAAGGACAATCTTAACCAAAAACCAACAGAACAAAGGACAGGAGTACATTGTACTTAAGTTGTCACAATCTTATCAGTTGACTTGGCTTAATAAGTGTGTGCTAGTATACCTATATGTTGCTGACAGTATATCATTCTTGAAAATTAAATATAAATAA